GACGATCACGGCCGCCGCCCGTTCACAGAAACCTGTGTTTATATATATTAAGCGAAGCTATCCCAGAGTAAAATATATTCAAAAATGCAAGCTCTTGCCGTGACCAGGATTCGAACCTGGGTTATTGCGGCCACAACGCAATGCCCCAGCCACCAGACGATCACGGCTGCTGTGAGCACGGTGGAAATGGCTTATGTAGAAGTACTTATTTTACGTCTTTTTTATAAATTAAGAATATATATAACTGAGATATATTTGCTTTAGTAAATATATTTCAAAAATTATGCTAAGTATTTTAATGTTAAATGTTTTTATGTTAAAACTTTTTTCTTTATCAAATGAAATGTATTTATATTTTTGTACTGTTTGTAAAGCCAATCCTTTTTAACCGATCATTGAAAACTTGTTTTTAATAGTCGTTAAATCATACTTTTATTCGTCAGGGAAGGGACAATTTTTCACTGAAATTTTTTAATCTGATATGTGATATACGTTACCCTATTAAAAGATATCCTGTTATCAGGCCAATTTCCGAGTTTTTAAATTCATTATCCTGAAAAATTAATCGAAAATGAAGTTTGATGAGAACAACCTGTTTAAATTAAAAGCATTTATTTTTCATTCTGATATTTATTCTTTTAAGATGTCACGAAACATTTGTAAAAATATTGCGCAATAGAGTACGTTCAAATTCATTAAGTGCCCTTTTTTAATATCTTATTATTTTCCAAGAACAGAAAATTGAGCAACTGACCCAAATATTATTGGATCAAAATGATTCTGAGAACCTTAACGTCACTTCCCGAAAGGTGCTCAATGACTGCTAATATTAGGATCAATTTTTTTCCAGTAAGGAGCAATCTAGTATGAAATAATCTGACGTTAACCTAGGATTGAAGTATGGTCATGCCAAGGGGCACTATTATTTCTTTCTATCCAGAAACACACCAGAATATTGTGCAGTTATTTCTTTAGATTTATTCTCATTCAATTTATTCTCACATCAATTGTATTCAATTTCAATTTCTTTCACTTTAAATGGAATATTTAAATATTACAATTCCATGAGAAAAGTATTTGAAATTAATGGTATCGCGAGGGTAAACTTCGTACATTCGAGCAGTTACAGTGAAGTAGTTCCAAAACAGCACAAACGTTCTCTTTTTGTTTGTAAGCACTACAAAACATTAAAAAAGACGTCCATATTCGTGCCCAGGTGCTCAGGTTTGGGAAACTATTTCTCTTTCTTCCTTCATCACTAATCTCACAGCTAAATCGGATGCGTTAAAAATTGCGTTTGCAGTTTTGAAAATACTGAGATTTTCGTTAGCTTTATTTCTACATGTGGTTTTAAAGAATTTTTTCATTAAGGAAAAACATATTTCACCCGTATTGTAGTTTTGCAAGGTTAATTTTTCGCCAATTCAGGAAAAAAAGATTGTTCACCCAAAATCTAATCTACAGTAACTTTAAATACATACTCCGCTCCATTCAAGAAAAATAAATAAATAAAAAATTGGAAACAGATTTGAGATTTTCTCATTAATGCTACTATTTCAAACATAAATACCTGAAAACCACTCATATTTTTTATTAAATTCCATGAACATATTTACATATCTATTTCTTTTAGAATAGAATTAATTCAGGATATGAATATTGTTACAGTATGGCACATGCTCAGTCGAAGAACTCTGACTTTATAGAAAATCATTCCATGTGACCCACTTGTGCAATAATATATAAACAAATTTTCGTAATGTAAATATTTAATATATAAGAGATATTTTACACTATATATTTCTGTAATGTGTTTGAAGTTTACTAAAATGAGGTACTAAATTGTATAACAAGGTTTAAATGTAATTACAATTTCCGTCAAAAGAGTTTTTTTTAACTTTTGAATTACTACTAAGACACTTAGGCACGATTCCGTTCTAAACCATTTTAAAGAGAACATTCATTTTGAATGATAGTTGTGAATCACTTAATAACTTCGTCTTCTTTTTACAAAAACTTTGTAGAACGAATTTTTACTGTTATGCGTCTCACAAGTACACATTACTGTACACATATTATCAGTTAATCTAACACCAAAAGAATGAAGTGATCTAATGGTAGTCCTTGTGGTGACCATTTGCATTTGGACCATTATTGACTAATTTTCATTTGCGGCTAGTCTGTTTGCCATTGCCTTGTCGATGACTTTCATATATTCTAATATGAACAGGCGCTGTTGGCGAGGAAAGATCTGAAGCTCAATATCAACTTGAAAGATTGTCGCGGATTTACTCCTCTCCATAGTGCTGTGGATTTCAACAACTGGCGGGTGAGACAACGACACATTATTCGTTTTCCTCAAATAGTTTTTGCTGCAATCGCGACAAAATGTATTATTACATTACATATTATTGCAATATCTGCATCTTTTCATGGGAAGTGTTAAAATTACTTCATTGAAAAATAAGTGTTGCGAAAAAAGATAATTATATAGAGAGGTGTGCCAATTATTTAACTATTATTCACGAAAACTCGTCTAGAATGGTTCATGCGTAGCGTACTAGCTTCCTGTGGAATGATGTGTGATTCGCGATCGAGGCAAAAATAGAGTCGTAGCATTCCTTTAAAATCGCCTCAGTTTCCGTAGCTGGGTAACGATGTAAAGCTCAGGCTGGTGGTGTTCGCTAGTTACGGTGAAGTCATGGGTCATTTCAGTCACGTGTCTTTCTTCCCCTCCCCAAAGACGGGAATTAAAAAAACAAGCATGGGGGACACCGTTAACTAGCCGGAAAAGTCGGACAGTCAACCCAAATTTGCCAAGTACATACATACATTATTCATGAAATTAAGGTACAATTAAACGTGTTCTCCGAAGTTTGTCGTTATCTATTCAATGAACTATGAATCGTGAATCGACACATGCTATGCTATCAGGATACGAATGATTTTAAAGTATGGCACATAATCAGTCAAAGGATTCAGACTTCGTGGGCCATAATTTGAAGCGACCCATTAGTGCAATAATGTATAAAAAATATCTTAAAATAAATATTAAAGACGTGAGAGATGTTTAAAACAATATTGTTACAACAAACAAATGTGTGTAAAAACCTCTTTAGCTTACTAAAATTACATAAATTGTTTAACAAGGTTTAAATGTACCTTCAATTTCCTTCAAAAGAGAGCTTTTCCATTTTTAACTACTAGTAAGTAAGAACTAATGTTCATGAATGCAGAATTTTTAACTAATGATTGTTCATTAGTCAAATCGTACGCGATTTCACCTCATGATGGTCTTAATCGTTGTAATAAAGAGAAGAGACATACCAGACATAAGCTACCATTAATTCCAAACAAGTGTCTTGACAATATTGTGTGGAAAACTAAAAATGCTCAGAAAGCTCCTTCTGCACTTACCAAAATGCACCAACAACGTTGGAAGTTAGTTTGGTAAGATTAGAAAGATTTCTCTATGGGTTAGAATTTACATATTTTCTGCAAATTCAATGATTTTCATTATAAAGTACCATCGAAATTAGAGCCTTAATGAGATAATACTCAAAGTCCATTTGATGTTCTGCTTGTATCAACAGAATTTCGACGTAATTTTTTGATGAAAGAATTACATAGCAAACTATTTCCTTGCAGATGACGTACTCACTAGTATTATTTGGGGCTGAAGTGGATCATGAAGATACTTTCAGTAAAACGCCGTTGCATTATGCTGTTATGCGTGGAAACGTCCGCATTGTCAAGATGCTTCTGTATTTTGGTGCTGACGTGAGTATTCTTCATTTTTATTTGTCTATTTATTTATTAAACGTAAAAAGGTTAAAATTTAACTTTTATACGTGCTGTGCTTAGATGGCAAAACGATATGTCACATTGCCAGGACACGAGATATAAAATTACATAAGTCACTCTTGTTTGTTAATGTTTAGAAGAAAGCAAAAGGTGCATTTCTCTTGTAGTTTATGAAAAACTAATGGTGGAAAATTGCAATAAGACAAAAGTTACAGAATATTTTTTCAAGACACTATGATGCTTAAAATTGCCGCCATATTTTTTAAAGTGACTTTTAACATTTTGCAATCTTATAAAAATAAATTACACGATCTTTATTAAATACTACCTATTTCTTTTAGAATATATTTAATTCAGGGTACGAATGTGTTACAGTATGGCACATACTCAGTCGAAGAACTCAGAATTCATAGTAAATCATTTCAAGCGACCTACAAACGCAATAATGTACAAACAATTTTCTTAATTTAAATATTAAAGACATGAGAGATGTTTAAAACAATACATTTGTGTAACGTGTCTGAAGTTTACTAAAATTAGACAAATCGTTTAACAAGGACTAAATGTAATTACAATTTCTACCAAAAGTGTATTTTCTCCATTTATTTAATTATTACTAAGACGGACATTGGCACGATTCCGTTCTAAACCATTTTAAAGAGAACATTTATTTCGAATGATGATTGAGAATCACGTAATAACGTCGTCTCCTTTTTACAAAAACTTTGTAGAAAGAATTTTCACTGTTATGCGTCTCAAATGTACGTATCAAGTGATCTAGTGGTAGTACAAAGGTAACCATTTGCATTTGGACCATTTTTCACTTACTTTGATATGCGACTAGTCCATTTGTGGTTACTTTCGTTTATTCTAATATGAACATGCGCTGTTATCCAGGAAAGACCTGAAGCTGAACGTCAACTTGAAAGATACGATGCGCAATTGCTCACCCACCTCTTTGATTATATTTTTGTATGTTCTCTTTTTAACAAGTTGGACGTATAGCGACCATTGTTATTGCTTTAACTGCACAGGGAACTGTAGTGAGAATACGTAAAGACACGTCAGAACACTTTAGAACGTTTAAGGACAGCGGAGACACACACAAAGCTTCGAGAATTCGGGTATTATACGCGCACATCTTCTTGAGCCCCGGAATACCTACCCCCACTCCTTTGCCAACATTGATTGAATGAAGAATAAATGATAGAAACGAGCGTTGTAGGCAAAATCTGATAAACAGAAATGTTCGCTCTCGTGTAGTGAAACTATTTTGCATTGAAAAACGAACTACAAATATAACATAAAATATTTTTTTTAAATAACGTAACTCCACACTCCTCTCGTAACTAACGATACGAGGGCTCAAGAAAACGTACGCGGATAATATCAGGGCCGGCGTCCATTATAGTTCTTACTTGAAGTCATAGGCTTCCACGGCCAGAGTCCTGTGCGTTTGGCTGTCCGGGTGACGCCGCGTCGAAGGCTGTGTTGCCGACGTTTCGTCCATCTTGTCGTGATCGTCCTCAGGGCTAGCATGCCAAGGAGGAAGACCACGGCAAGATAGTCGAAACATCGGCAACACCGCCTTCAACGCGGCGTCACCCGGACAGCCACGATCATGCACATGACTCTGGCAGCGGAAGCCTACGACTTCAAGTAAGAACTATGATGGACGCCAGCCCTGATATTATCCGCGAACGTTATCTTGAGCCCTCGTTTCGAGTTGCGAGAGGAGTGGGGAGTTACATTATTTTGACAAAAAAAAATTATGTTATATTTGTAGTTCGTTTTTCAATGCAAAATAGTTTAATTACACGGGAGCGAACATTTCTGGTTGTCAGATTTTTGCCTACAACGCTCGTTTCTTTAATTTATTCTTCATTCAACCAATGCTGGCAAAGGATTGGGGGTAGGTATTCCGGGACTCAAGAAGGCCGCTGTGAGTACTGAAGCCCACGCTCTCCTCCGTGGTCGTGGCAGCCCAACAACGTGGACTGCTTCGGCGCGACGCCGCTGTCGATGGCCTTCACCACGGCGCCGTACCCGGACGTGGCGCGCGCGCTGCTCAACTCGGGCGGCAGCGCCGACGTGGCCACCCACTCGGGCCTGCACTTGCTGTCCGAGTGCGTGCTCGCCTGCGACTCGCCCACCAGCCTCGACGCCCTCCGCGCGCTG